GGTAGAGTGCTGTGGCATCAGCTCACAGTAACCTCAAACTTTTGGGTTTAGGCCCAGCACGGTGGCTCATGTCTGTGATCCTAGCACTCTGGGAGGTTGAGACAGGTAGATTGCCTGAGTTCACAGGTTCAAGACCAGCCTGAACAAGAGTGAGACCCTGTCTCTAAAAATAGCTATGTGTTGTGGTGGGTACCTGTAGTCCCAGCTACTTGGGAGGCTGAGGCAAGAGAATTGCTTGAGCTCAAGAGTGTCTCAAAAACGAAACAGGGTGGCGCCTGTGGCACCAGCCCCATATACCGAGGGTGGCAGGTTCGAACCTGGCCCTGGACAAACTGCAACAAAATTTAACTGGGCGTTGTGGTGGGTGCCTGTAGTCCCAGCTGCTTGGGAGGTTGAGGCAAGAGAATCGCCTAAGCCCAAGAGTTGGAGGTTGCTGTGAGCTGTGATGCCACAGTACTCTACTGAGGGCAACAAGGTGAGACTCTGTCTCAAAAAGAAAAAAACCTCTTGGGTTCCAATGATCCTCTTGCCTCAGCCTTCTGAGTAGCTGGGACTACAGGCATGTGCCAATATACTCAGCTAGTTTTTCTATTTTTAGTAGAGATGGGGTCTCACTCTTACTCAGGCTGGTCTCAAACTCCTGAGCCCAGGTAATCACCCACCTCAGCCTCTCAGAGTGCTAGGATTATAGGCATGAGCCATCTTGTCTGGCCTAAAAAAAATTTTTTTTAAATTAGCCCGATGTAGTGCTGCATGTTTGAGGCTGTGGTGAGCCGTGGTCATGCCATTGCACTCCAGCCTGGCCAACAGAATGAGACTCCATTGCTGAGAAAAACAAACAGACAAAAAGTGAAGGTAGATGGAGGAGGATGAGGGAATAGGGCTAGAATGTTCTTTTCCCCTTTTTGTTTTTATCTTTAGTGTCTGGGACTCTCATTCTCCCACTTTCAGCCACTAAAGAAATTAGTGAAAAAATTGAGGTGGGGGGTTGGAGGAAAAAAAATCAGAGCATATAGCTTATATCTTTAAATCTCTGTAAGACAGTCCTGGAGCTGACAGACCCAAGCAGATATGTTCTCTGAGGCTCCATAGGGCACAACAAGGCCCTGTGATTAGGGGGCAGTGGCACAAGGGCATTATAGACAGAGAGGTTAATTTGGGCTCCTTCTAAAAAGCAGTTTCTAACTGCCAGTGTTATTCGGAAAAGATAACCTATAAAGGGGTGAGTGCCCCTTTATGAAGTATAGGAGAAATGATTGATTACTGCTGGGAAAATGCTGGAGGACAAGGCCAGTGGGAGTTGAACTAGATGACCTCTGAAATTCTAACTCTGACCTTGAGGGAGAGGGAGAGGGATTGGCAGTCAGGAATCCCTGAGTCTGCTTTTCCACACAAATCTCTTCTCATGCTCTAGATAGCCACTGTTGTCTCTGACGGGCCTGCACATCTACTCTAATATACACGGGGGAGAGGACCTCTAGTGTTCTCTTCCTATTGCTCTGAAACTCTGCAAACAGCGGGCTCTTTGGGCCTTCATCCCCTCTCTTATTTCACAGAAGAGGTGGGCAGGCCATGGCTGTTATTCCCATTTGACTGATGGTGTCTTTAGGCCAGAGAGGCACAGGAGTGTCCCAGCCAACACTGGCACCCAAGCCTTTGGTTGCACCAGACCATAAAGATTAGTTGGCCCTAGTCTTTGTTCTGAAGGCAGGGACTTTCGAAGACTCCTGGGCTGCCAAGGTCCTCCCCGAAGTTGTGTTGCCCAGAACTCTGGGTAAGATGGACTCTCCCAAGCCTAAGCCTTCCCGATGATGGAAATTCCAGCCCCATTCCATTCCCCCAGACAGGCTGGAAAGTCTTTCCAAGGTTTAGCGTGCATCCTCTCTGTTGAATTATATCTTCTTGGAGCTGGAGAGCAGCCAGCCTTCCATCACCAGCTTAACTAGGAGGGCTGAGAGGAAGGGCCAGGAACCACTGCCTCCCTTCTTGGCCCAGCTGGTGAGAATTTTTTTTTAGTGGGTGTTTAGCAGTTTCTACTTCAGGCCTGTGGGTGAGGAACAGTAATTACTAACATTTTTGTATAAATGTGGCCAATTCTAGGCTATGCGGTTTACATGTTTAATCTCAGTTAATCCTGCAACAACTTTTTCAAGTAGATAATTCTACATGAGACTCAGAGAGGCTCACAACGTGCCCAGGCCTACACAACAAACAAATGGTGCAACTCCACTACCAACCCAGGTTGTTC